AGTTGGCTTGTTAGCTCAATTGGTAGAGCGCTGCACTAGTATCGCAGAGGTCAGTGGTTCGAATCCCGTACAGGCCTGATCTTTTTCAGGTCTGATTTTCGCTATTGCTTAAATAGCGCTATCTACTGCGAGGATCGTGCATCATACGTATCTAATACCGCAGTTCAAAATATATGAACTTCATATATTTCATTGTATCTGATTTATCACTTTCACGGGTTTATTACGAATCAACTTAACGGCCTGCTCCCAGTTGGCTTGTTAGCTCAATTGGTAGAGCGCTGCACTAGTATCGCAGAGGTCAGTGGTTCGAATCCCGTACAGGCCTGATTTTTTTCAGGTCTGATTTTCGCTATTGCTTAAATAGCGCTATCTACTGCGAGGATCGTGCATCATACGTATCTAATACCGCAGTTCAAAATATATGAACTTCATATATTTCATTGTATCTGATTTATCACTTTCACGGGTTTATTACGAATCAACTTAACGGCCTGCTCCCAGTTGGCTTGTTAGCTCAATTGGTAGAGCGCTGCACTAGTATCGCAGAGGTCAGTGGTTCGAATCCCGTACAGGCCTGATTTTTTTCAGGTCTGATTTTCGCTATTGCTTAAATAGCGCTATCTACTGCGAGGATCGTGCATCATACGTATCTAATACCGCAGTTCAAAATATATGAACTTCATATATTTCATTGTATCTGATTTATCACTTTCACGGGTTTATTACGAATCAACTTAACGGCCTGCTCCCAGTTGGCTTGTTAGCTCAATTGGTAGAGCGCTGCACTAGTATCGCAGAGGTCAGTGGTTCGAATCCCGTACAGGCCTGATTTTTTTCAGGTCTGATTTTCGCTATTGCTTAAATAGCGCTATCTACTGCGAGGATCGTGCATCATACGTATCTAATACCGCAGTTCAAAATATATGAACTTCATATATTTCATTGTATCTGATTTATCACTTTCACGGGTTTATTACGAATCAACTTAACGGCCTGCTCCCAGTTGGCTTGTTAGCTCAATTGGTAGAGCGCTGCACTAGTATCGCAGAGGTCAGTGGTTCGAATCCCGTACAGGCCTGATTTTTTTCAGGTCTGATTTTCGCTATTGCTTAAATAGCGCTATCTACTGCGAGGATCGTGCATCATATGTATCTACTACCGCAGTACAAAATATATGAACTTCATATGTTTCATTGTATCTCATTATTTGATACTGTTATCAAGTTCTTTTGGCTTATAGACCCTGAATGTGGAGCGTCGTCAAAGACGTTAGCTAAAGAGACGAAAATATGTCACCCCAGGGCCAAACTTCTGACGAAACGTTGATGGATGGGATAAGCTTGGTTCTCGAGCAGGATTCTTTGGTTGGAAGTTGATTCTACAAACAAGAATCCCAGGGTTATTGGCTCAAATTACCTAAATGTAGTTCAACAACTTGGAGAGGTTCTAAGAAGGATACGCTGTGACAGGGGAACTGAAAACAGAATCATCGACAACGATTTTTTCCTTGGTATAGACCACTTTCATAAGTGGCTGCCGGATTAATATTCTTTTGTTTAAATTTAAATTAGCCATTCTGGCCTCGTTCTCCAGTACAAAATTCAAAAGAATACATTATCTCAAGCGAGGCCAGAAGGGCTAATTCAAATTTCAACAAAAAAATATTAATCCGGCAGCCATTTATGAAAGTGGTCTATGACGATGACCATTTTGCAGGAAGGGGGAAATCTCGTCGTAGAAAAGAGCACCGGAAATTGATCGCTCAATCTGACCGTTGTGGTTTTCTCTCACCGCATTTCATCAGCTTTCCCGGCCCTCATCTAGAGTGTTGACGCGTGTAGGAAAAGCGAAGAACAAGTAAAGATAAAGCAACCGTTCTATTATCAATATCACGGTATCTGTATGTGACATTTTCATGCCCCGTAACAAAGCTATTTTAAGCTGGGCTTTTTCGTTAGGATTTCCAAAAGAGAATAACTTGTCATAACTAGAAATTAATGAAAGCTTGCCATTGCAACAGAACAAAATGTTGTAAATTTTACTGACACCGATGCAAAAGTTGAATGGTCAGTTAGTTTATGGATAGATAACGCACAAAATCTTCGAGTATTATGACTATAAATATTAACGATAACATCGAAAATGTTAATTTCCTTGGGGGTACTAAAAAATCTATGAAAAGACCAGAACCTGTAATATCTCCATGTAAGTGCCAACTATCCTGCATCTCTACTGTCATGTCACTGAAACACAACACAAATCAACAAAAGTTAATCCTCTGTGATTCTGAGTGTTTTTTCTCAATTTTCAATCATGTCTTCGTTTTGTTATGAGATTTATGGCCTTTAATACGAGCTAGTTTGTAGATAATACAATACTTAAGCAAAACCTGAAATTAACGCTATTTTGATTTTTACTTATTTTAAGATTGCATGACTAAGGATTACTCGATAAAGCTGTTCTAAACTTTATCTTAAATCTATTACTGTGCTTGAGTTGTCATAGTTGAAGCTTATAATCACATAGATTCCACACTCGTAAAAACATGTTGTTCAACTATGCTTCTTCAAGGCAGGCAAAACTAGGAGAAAGGGGAAGGTAAGGAACTTCCGAGGAATGAACGTGCAATTATATACCGGGTCAGTTATCATCTTATTTACCATTCCAATTCAAATAACTTATGTGAGTCAATGAGATAACACCTAGACTTTCCTGATACTTCTCCTCATTTAACTAAGCTCTTCAGCCTTAGTTGTGTCTTTTAACAGAAGCATTCGCATTGAAATATTTTGAAAAATTAACAAAAAATTCCTTGGGTAACGGCACAATGAAACTTTAGTAAGATACTTTTCTGATGGGCTAAAAAAAGATCACACATTTTGGCTCTTTAACGCTGAAATGCATTAATTTGGCGTTGAAGTAAATACCTCGGTTAACCTACTACAAGAATCTCTCAGAGTTTCTCTCCGTTCAAAATTTTTCCCATCGGCTGTGAAATCTTTTTAAGAACGGCAAACCTGCCGTAATCGCGTGTGACAACTGGGAAGGCTAAACTTAACTGTTCCACTGTTTTAATAGTAAATTCATCCAAAAAAGAATATATGTATCTATGTCTGAATGGATTTGAAAAGCATGCCCGTTGTGTTTCAAGATTGACAGTCAGGTTCATGCCCTGCCCAGGGCTCAGCTAGTGGTGAACACCCTGTGGTTGGAAAGTGGTTGAAATTCCAACGCAGAAGGCAGAAACCTGACGGCTAGGTTTTCGCATGGAGGTGGGCACCGCCCGACTCAAGCAAGCCTGGCCGAAGGAAATGCAGATGGCTTAACGTTAAGGCTAATGCTCACACGCAGTTCAGTTACCAACCTATCCAAGGATGGGTTGCAATGGGCTCCATGCGGAAAGCTCAAGGGGTGGGGAGGGTAGGTTTTTAAAACTCCACGGCGAACTACCCTTTTTCCCCAGTTCTCTGAGCCTGGAAGAGGCTTCTCCTATTCATTCTGATTGATAGCCTGTATCGCATGACTTGTAGTGAGGCTTGTGCTTTGTTACACCTCAGCCACTGGCCTAACACTCCATGGCTGGAAAGTGGTTGAATGTCAAAAGTATGCTTTTGGGGTAGAGGGCTCAATTAACACTGACAAAACCTGATGCCTAGGTTTTCGCTTGTAGGAGGGCACTTTGTGGCATATGTAAATTTGAAATATGTTTACGAAGCTAAACCCTCAAGAAGCTAAGAAACATAAACATTCGAACGACCTAACGCTAGGACTCGAGATTATTTGATTTCGATATTTGCGATAAAGCGAATACTGAGAGACGGCCGCATTAGTTTGTGCGCAAGAAAACATTACAAGTCGTCAACGAGCAAACTTCTATCATGACGGATTCATGAGAACGTCACGGATGAGGAAGACTATATATTGCCTTTTATCATCCAATTGTGTTTCTTAGACTCTACAAATAATGCCCAAAAAGATTTAGATATCTCGCGGTATTTGTACTCTAGAGAACCGGCTAGACAGGTTTTCTCGCATCGCGCAAGCGACGAATTGGACGGAAGCTACGAAAAAAAATTGTGGACAATTTAAATTACTTTTCTGACGAACACTGATCCAAGTTTATTACATAAATCGAACGAAGAAAAGCAGTTACACGAGAACGAAATTTAAATATGTTACTAAACGTTTTGTTGTGTAGTATCGCTGGGTATTTCTACGAGTTTTGCCGATTTACGGTTTGCACAATCTCCGAAATATTTGTTCACTAAAAAACCGAATTAAGTTTTGGATTCGCTCGACATCTCTAAACAAAGAAGTTTAAAATAAACTTTTCAGTGGAATTTCCGTGGAAATTTCTGACTGCTGTGCTCGGCTGCCGGGCATTTTCACATGGTGTTTATTATAATTGTTTTCAAACTGAGCGAACCACTGGTTGTAAGTCAACACTCATAAAGAAAAAATTATCACCGGCAGTTCTTACTTTCATAAAAGCTTAAAGAAAGGGTTAGAGAACTTTATTTCTTTGGCATGTTGATTGGTTTAATGCTCAAGATTGGCTTGAGCGGCTTAGTAACTGAACTCTTTAATAATGTTTGTGAGATAACCATGGTGACACAATATTCGTGACTCAGCGTTTGAAGTCCACGTCCTTTTGTCAAGAGCGACATGGTTATTTACACGAAGTCAATTAACCTGATCAACCGTTGATGCATCCTATACTGCCTTCCAAACATTCGCTTATTAACAACTGAAATCGCCTTAACACCATGAAAAATCGCTATGTTTGATATCTACGACGAACAGCAAAACGAAATAGTATAATGTTTAGCGAACCTCTAGAATGAAACAATCATAACATCGCAAGGAAACTACAAGTTGTCCCGCATTGCCCTTCATTTCAAATTTACTTTAGAAGTATGCCAATCTACTTAATATTTAAATTACATGCTGTTTGTAACAAATATAGTTGAGTGTCAGTAAATGGCGCCTCACAAATATCACGGTAAATAAAGATTACTTGTCGCCAACTGAAGATTGTACGATTTGAAAACGATGAACCCTGCACGAAATCCAGTAGACTTGAGAAGTGAGAAACCGAATCGTGATCTATCCTTTCGTGATGCGAAATTTCACTGCAAGGCTTGGTCGCCCAAACAAAACGATCATTTTTTTAAAACTTCCTGAATTACTAATTGTTGTAAGCTACTGTTTGTTTAATACCTCTTAATGCTATATTAGACCACAACGCTTGACTAAACCCTTTAACTGAATAGTTGCTATTGACGCCTATCTGCGTCATCGAGCTAAGAATATGAGCCTTTAAAAGGAGCTAGGCATTATATGTACGGTTAATTCTATGTCCTACATCACTGTCGCATACTTTAGTTCCAAAGACTCCTAAGAAGCATGGAAGCTTTCACATTTACAGGTAACCTTTTAGTGCGCTGTTTACTTTCCCTTAAACCTCAAAGTACAATTAAACTTAAGCGATATGTCCTCGCTCCACACATGATTCGTTCTGCCTTCGTTCTCCGTATAAATTAAACCAGTAAAAATCTTTTGGAACTCCTTCAGTGCTTTTTGACACCAACTAAACATGAAAAGATGTAAAACTGGGTGAATCAGGGAAAAATAGCGCTTTTAATTTTAGCTTAGTACGGCGAATTTGCGAGATGCTTACTCGTATGGCTGATTGCCTTGAAACTTAGGTCAAGGGAAAGTAAATCAGCTCGGTGGAGTTTTCATAAATGGCAGACCACTTCCAAAACTTCTTCGATGGAAGATCATTGAACTGGCACAAAAAGGTGTCAGGCCTTGTGACATTAGCCGTCAACTGCGAGTTTCTCATGGTTGTGTAAGTAAAATCTTGTGCCGATACCAAGAGACGGGTACCGTTGATCCTGGAATGGTCGCTTTGAATAAAGCTCGCGATGTGACTCCAGAAATCGAACAAAAAATTGACCATTACCGAAATGAGAACGGAGGAATCTTTTCATGGGAGATTCGGGATCGTCTCCTTAGAGAAAATGTATGCACCAAAAGTACCGTGCCTTCACTTAACGCCATAAGTCAAATATTAAAGTCCAAGATCGTGCAAGAAACTGGGGAAAGAAAGAATACTGTTCTGTGGCGAAATAAGTCAAGTGGAAAGAGCTGTAAGGATTCTGATGACAAAGAGTTTTTTCTACCTCCGACGTTTGTGAAAGAGGAAGATGATCCACCGAGTCCAACAGCTAAGGACGACACAGATTCTTACCCACCAGGTGACTTTGTTGACTTTGTTACTGTTTTCGTTTTGTATAAATGATTACGTTGTCCATTGTAGTCTCGGGTTTGACGTGGCATTAGTACTTATAATGCATATGTATTTTTCAAGATTGTCATCAAGTCCAAACGAAAAAAAAAATATTTTTAGTCTCGAAAAATTTTTTTAAACTCAAAAGCTTAGTAATAAAACGATTAGATAACTATGATGAAAAACATTATTCCAAAAAAAAATCGTGCTGATATTGAAATGCCGATAATTTGAGTCAGATACTCCTAAAAACAATTTCGGCCATTCAGAATGATGAATTGAGGTACTGCTCGCGTCCGACTTGATTTTAAAATACTGCGCTGGGTGCAGCTACTTCTTTAAAATAAAGGCAGTTGGAAAGAGAAAGGAAAGTTGACGTTTGTCTTGATCGGCTTAATTGACGTCATCTCAAATTGTTAGTTGTCACGCTATATTTACAAACTGGTGGAAAAGGAGCTAACTTCCTCTTCACTCTTGCGTCAGGGTATACTCAATATGGGGGAAGGGGGATAAATGATATTTTCAGCTAATTTTTTCTGCATCGATGAAAAAATATGTCTTGCAGGAGTAGAATTTAAAACTTTGAGCACCTTTTCACCAAGTTACACGTACAGCAGTTTGGACAATGATTTCTTCATCGCTCGAAAACAACGTCGCAGCCGCACCAAATTTACACAAGACCAAGTACGGGCCCTTGAAAAGGCCTTCCAGAAGACACAGTACCCGGATGTGTACACACGAGAGGAATTAGCTCAGAGACTGTCACTAACAGAAGCTCGCGTGCAGGTTGGAAAACCATCTTTCTATATTGAAATATATGCAACTACGTACATTTCGGAGAACCTACCTTTCTATAGGTTTAGTTTTTCGTCAAACATATCAATTAAAAAGCTCTTTCTGAAAATGTTATTTAAAGGTACCTTAGAGATAATTTTTTTCTCGATCTATCGAAAGGTTGAATAGGGGGATCGTTGTCATTAATGAAGTTTGTTTAGGAATAGAATAACAGAATAACACAAATTTAAGCAATACTTGAGGCGAAACCCAGACTGACATCCACAAGCATACGGATAATTCTAATCTAGATATTGAAAAGTCAAACTTGGTTTCTTCTGATTTTGTACATTCGATTGGGGTAGCCTTTTTTGACAATAAAAAAATATCAAGGCTACAACTTAACAAACCTGCCTTTAAAAGCACACACAACCGACAATTCTTCTATTCGCTCCGACGAAGGGCTAACGCTCGAAACGTCAGCTTTTATAATCGTAACGGTGGCCAATTTACCATTTCAACTTTGTTGATATATTCAAATTATTAACAAACAATTAGAGCGAACCAGACTCGATAACAAGCCATACAATACAAACATAGGCAATATAAACGCACTTCTATCTGTTACACTGCTCGTGTTTATCCCGGAAGACGTGACATTCGTATACTAGCCATTGGCAAAATGGCGCCTAATTTTTTTAGAAGCAGTGTTTTAGGTTGTTATGCGTCAACATGATCTCCATTTTTTTTGTTTAAATCGTAATTCTGCTTGTCTCTTAAGGTCTGGTTCTCCAATCGACGAGCTCGCTTGAGGAAAAGAGATGCTAAACAGGAAAAGAAAGACGATTCCGCTGCTTGTGTATGCCAACAACCGATGCCGTCCATGAGCTACATTCCATACGTGGTTGTGAATGATGCCATTTACTCTTTTCCTATCTACTGACGAGTTGAGCGTGGCGGACAGAAATGTTGAAAGAAAATGAGCTTCGCAATGACGTTTGCCAACTTTAATTTTTCTTCATGTGTGAGATGGGAGACAAAAACTTAGAGACTCGATTTAAAGGATTTGGTCCGACTGGGCAATCGATCTCTTCAACTCAAGTCGCTCTATATTCTCTCGTCATTTTCTCGTTATCATCCCCATTCCGACTCCCGCACCCTTCAAAAATGCTTTTGAAAGAAACTTTTTCTTTCATAGTCAGTTCGTATCAATTGGTATGAGAAGTGTGCCAAAAAGAGATTCAAAGAAGTCGTAGAAAAATGTTATTAATTAAAAAAAAAGAGTTCCATGTGATAAGTATAAGCTGTATATTTTAACTTATTTAAAGTTATATTGTAAATATAACACCGTAATCAGTGTTTTCGTTCAGTTGCCTGCTTATTTATGCTGTTAAGAATAGATAGCGAGTTGACACAAAACGTTAGGGTTACTTTATTCCCATTTTTTAAATTGCATCATCTGATTTTAAGTTCCAAATCTTTTTCGTCTTAATTATGTCAGTCAGTATGAACGTCGAAATTGGAAGACGTTTGCAGAAGCCCTAATAACACTTTTTTTTTGGTTCTAAAGATTTAACGTTCTGTAAATGTGCTCTGTTTACAACAAAATATTCACAACGGCATTCAACAGAATAACGCTTTCGGATAATGCTAAGACACCAACCGATGTCATATTTTACGTTTTAGCCTAGTGCTGATTTTCGTCTCATTTGTTTACCGTTTTCTAAGGAAATCAATCATCCTTTTCTGTCAACGGAGTGAATATACAGCAAGGGGTAAATTGGCTTAAATTTATAAATATACCTTACAAAACTGGTTATAGGATCACTTGTATAAGTTCCCATTGCTGATTTTAAATTCGTTGCCACCCGTAAATGAAAACGATATACCGGAGATGTCCTAAAAGTACCCGCGATCAAATTTTTGAACTTTTTGTTTCTGTGACATGAACGTTTACATAAGAGAGATGAAGCAATTTTCATGCATTTTTTTCTGGCTTCATTCCGCTCTGTAATTGGTCTTCAAAATCTCATTAATAATTTATGAGGCTAACAGCCCATCAAAACATTGATAAAACATCACGTGTATGACCCTTCATACCTGGTAATCTACGATCATTCTGAAAAGTCCGGTGGCGGCTTTGATTTCAGTTCCTGGGGTTCAATGTGCAAACAATGCTATTATCGCTTATTCTCAAATAAAACGATCTTTACGTAAAGTTCGCTAGTGATCTTTATATTTAGGTCACTAGTGATCTGCAATCCACAGCAGATACTGTACAAACTTCTAGGAGGGTATCACTCTCCATTCTCTTTACACACCTCCGCTACAAACTTTGTCAACCAAACATTCAAGGATTTAAAGCTTAGAAGCTTCGTTTCTAAGCTTTAGACATTGTCCACTTTGACTTTGAATCTTCTTTCCTCAAAGTTAGCTTCTTTATTTCTTCTTGAACTTTGCCACTCGCCAAATATTTTGTAAGCCCACTTTGTGGCATATCGCGTAGACTTTGGCATACAACTATCCAAGTACTTCTCTTTTTCCTCGGGACTCTCTGGTTCTCGAAACACGCGTTTGGGCGGCATTTCAAGGAAAAGCTCTCTGACACTTTGACAGAAGCCGAACATAATTAACCTTTAATGTATTCAATCTATAGAGACAAGATCTCGTCGTGAAAAATCTCGTTACCCCAATCAGTAAGGCGAATAATGAAAAATAACTAGTGATGAATGAACAAGTCGAAGGGAATGTGATCTGTGTGGCGATAGTTTTCGCGCGCCCAAACTGGACTTTCGCGGAAGGCACAACAATAACGGGAGGGAGCTAGCTTAGTAGAGACAACTCCGCAGCGAGAACGGGAATTCGTCACGATTCCCTGGTAGAGGCGACCTCTTCAAGCGAGCTTCTACGGACGTCAAGGATGAGACAGCACTTGGTTCCACAGTAAACTTTTAATCTAGGTCAGTCAGGCCAACAACTGACATGACCTCTAGCCTCTTCATTTTTGTAATCCCAGATATAATCAAGGATGTTAACAAGGATGTAATCAACGATGTATTCAACAAAGCTTTAAAACGTACTTGCTTAAGTACTATCGAGCGCGTGGTTCTATTGTTACACAAATTTACCATATTTGAATAAGAACACAAAGGAGCGGAACAAGGTCTCTTTGAAGTGAAACGATTTCTGTCTAGACACTTATATGTCGAGATTGTGAAAGCAAATTTAATAAACTTTAGGCCATTAAAAATAGGAAACTCAGTCAGGAGAGAATTCCCAGCTTTGATATTGCAAATATACCCATGGTAATTACAACAGAGCACTTCCTAAAATAAAATGAAAAATACAATTAAAAGTCAGATACAATGAAATATATGAAGTTCATACATTTTGAACTGCGGTATTAGATACGTATGATGCACGATCCTCGCAGTAGATAGCGCTATTTAAGCAATAGCGAAAATCAGACCTGAAAAAAACCAGGCCTGTACGGGATTCGAACCACTGACCTCTGCGATACTAGTGCAGCGCTCTACCAATTGAGCTAACAAGCCAACTGGGAGCAGGCCGTTAAGTTGATTCGTAATAAACCCGTGAAAGTGATAAATCAGATACAATGAAATATATGAAGTTCATATATTTTGAACTGCGGTATTAGATACGTATGATGCACGATCCTCGCAGTAGATAGCGCTATTTAAGCAATAGCGAAAATCAGACCTGAAAAAAA